AAAAAGGCTTATAATATAGCTGATGCTAGGAATCTTGTCAAAGGCTGAAGAGTGGGGAGGGAGGAAGTAGTGGTGTCAACTTTACAGTTTGCAGATGATTTGATTTTATTCTATAAAGGGGAGGAGGAAGAATTGCATGACCTCAAATCCTTGGTTAATTACTTTGAAAGGGTGTTCAATCTCAAAGTGAATTGGGGAAAAGTTGCGTTCCAGGAATAAACAAGGCAAGGGAAAAAGGAACTTAGACGGAGGGGGGATCCTTACTCTCAAAGGTTTTGGGACCAAATAGTGGAGAGATTTACTAGGAAACTAGCAAGGTGTAAAAAGAATTATATCTTGTTAGGAAATAGGATCACCTTAATCAAGTCCACATTGGTAAATTTGCCAGTCTACTACTTATCCACCTTTAGTACCTCAACGAGAGTTGCTAATTAACTTGAGAAACTAATGAGAGGTTTCCTGTGGGAACCTAACCTAAGGAGCAAGAAGGTCTAGGGATAGATAATCTTAAAAGGAAGAACTTGGCATTGCTAGGTAAATGGATTTGGAGACTGCCTCTTGAACAAGACATGATAGTTAGCATTCATGGAAGAATTGCAAATGATTATGATGTTGGCCTTGATGTGAAGATGTCTATGTCTTCCTCCTAAAAAGCTATTCATGCTACTTTTCCTTTCTTCCTCCCTTTTGTAAGGTATGATGCTGGTTCTAGTAATAAAGTTCATTTTTGGAGGATATCTAGTTAAGAGACAATTCTCTTAAATATAAATTCCCTTCTATCTACTCCATCTCCCACAAAAGTAAAAACCTATTTCATTAGTCCACTGTCGTGGGGGTGCTTGGGATTTAGGTTTGAGAGGAGGGCTAAGAGAATCTAAAATAGGGGCTCTATATGAGCTGCTCAGTCTTTTGAGCTTTGTGTTTTTGGACCCTTACTTGCCTGATAGTCGATTCTGGTCAGTCACTTCCTTGGGGCTTTTCTCGTGTGCCTCTTTCTTTAGTGACCTCCACTCTTCTGATCAAGTGGTGCCCTTTCTAGTTAAAGAGATTTGGTGTAGTCTTGTACTTCCTAGAATCGGGGCTTTTTTGTTGGAAACGGTTCTCAATAAGATACACACTTGTGATTTGTTACAGAAAAGGAAGCCAAACTAATGTCTCTCCCCTAATATTTGCTGCATTTTCCTTGATTGTGATGAGAAAATGATCCACTTACTAGTCTCTCATATTTGGGAATGCTTGGTGCCACCTTGTGTTGCAAGGTTTTTTTTTATGCAAACTTCTTATCTCAAGTCCCTCTGTTCTGCCCCTCTCTCTTTGGAGTTTCCTATCAAAGAAATCTAGTCAAGGCTCATTCCCCCCTAAAGTAGTTTTTTGTTGGGAAACCTTTTATGATAAGATCAATACCTTACATGACCTGCAAAAGAAGAGACATTTTCTTTGTATATCCCCAAATTGGTGTATTTTGTGTAAAATGCATAACGAGGATCACCACCACTTGTTGTTATCTTGTGCTTTTGCTGCTAATATTTGGAATTGGGTCTTTATATTGTTTGGGTGCAAGTGGATCTTGCCCTTTAAAGTAAACTTGCTTTTTGATCCATCCACTTTTGGGCATCCAACTAAGAGAGGGAAACTAATGTGGAAGTGCATTAGAGCAGCCATTTTGTGGACTATCTGCGAGGAAAAGAATTATAGAATATTCTAAGAGAAGGAAAGAAGCATCGATGAAATAAAGAAATGCATTCTAACAAGAACAATTCATTGACTAAAAACTTCCACTGCCCCCAAAAAGAATAGACTATACAGATAGAATGGAGACCTTCTACAGAGAGTGTGGTAAAGTTGAACTTTGATGGCAGCAGTCTAGGCAATCCAAAGGCCTTCATGTATAGGGGGGTTTTAAGAGATAAGGATATAAACATCCTATCTCTATTCTTAGGACCAATGAAAGTTGGTGATTCAACAAGGGCTGAGATGCTACGGTGCAGGGCTTACAAACTGCAAAGCAACTAGGAGTGGAAAATCTAATAGTTGAGGGAGATTCTAAATAGTAATGGGTTGGTTGTTGGGTCCAAAAACAGTTCTATGGGGCTACGAGGATCTTCTTAAGAAAGTTAATTGGCTCACAAGGAATATTCTATTCACCTATAAGTGGGTTAGCAGATCAATAAATGCTATGGCAGATTCTTTGGCAAAACAAGGGGTCTCAAGGGTGTCAGAGTCAGATCGAAAAACTGAGAAAGAGAAAGAGAGAGAGACAACACAGCCGAATGGTGGGTGTAGCAACTTGTGTCAGTTGACATCCTAAAAGAAATATTTATATTAAGTTGTAAAAGGACAGATCTGCCCTTAATATACATGAGAGATATAATACAAAGAGAGATATACAAAAAAGAAAAGTAAAAGTACAAAAATAGCCCTACGGCTAGATTTCATTGTCTCTACACTCCCCCTCAAACTGATGCCTAGGAATAAGCATCAATTTGTCCATGAGAAATAGATGTCGAGTCCGTGTCATTGCTTTAGTTAACAAATCTGCCAGTTGGAGCCCATAGGAGACATGAGGAAGAGATATGGTACCCTCAAGAAGGAGATTACGAATGAAGTGGCAATCAACTTCTATGTGTTTGGTGCGCTCATGGAAGACGGGGTTGGATGCAATTTTGATTGCACTGATGTTGTCTACATAAAGAGGAACTGAAAATGGTGGCTCACTTAGTATTTCAAATAGAAAAGCCCGAAGCCATATGATCTCACTACACACGGAAGACATAGCCTTGTATTCAACTTCAGTGGAAGATTTGGACGCAATAGCTTGTTTCTTGCACTTCCATGAGATAAGGGAGTTGCCTAGGAAGACACACCAGCCAATTGTGGACCGTCGGGTGTCAGGGCATCCAACCCAATCAACATCTGCATAGGCCATAAGATGAATGAGAGATGATGAGGAGAAGAATATCCCATGTGAAAGTGTGCCCCGTACATATCTTATAATCCGATGAACTGCATAAGATATGTCTGGCCGAGTCATGGTGAGATAGATTAAACTGCACACTAGCTGACGATAAAGGGTAGGATTTTTAAGGGGAGACCCATCATCTTTGCTGAGTTTTAGATTCAATTCTAGTGGAGTGTCCACAATCTTAGAATCACTAAGATTTGCCAATTTAACAAGATCAGCCGCATACTTCTGTTGATTAACAAAGTAGCCTCGAGAATTTCTGCTCATCTTAAGGCCCAAGAAATATGTCAACGGTCCCAAGTCCTTCATCTTGAAGGATTCACTGAGTAACTGTTGTAGCCTAGAAATTCCTTCTATGTCATCCCCTGTAATGAGTATATTATCAACATAAAGGAGTAATATCGTTACTCCTTGCTTCTGCTTTAGGGTGAACAAGGAGTAATCAGAAGAACTCTGAATAAAGCCAACATCAGTGATGACAGATATGAACTTCTCAAATCAGGCCCTAGGAGCTTGCTTCAAGCCATAAAGTGACTTCTTTAGACGACAAACAAGCTACGGATCTGTACAATATCCCGGAGGAGGCTTCATGTAAGATGTCTCTTTCAATTCCCTATGGAGAAAAGCATTCTTGACACCCATCTGATGAATTGTCCACTGTTTGATTGCAGACACAGCCATCAAAAGTCGTACAGTGGTCATCTTAGCTATAGGAGCAAAAGTCTCCTCATAGTCTATCCCATATTTCTGTTTGTAACCCTGTGCAACAAGCCTAGCTTTGTATCTGTCTAGGCTTCCATCAGGTTTTAGTTTCATAGAATAGACCCATTGGCTTCCTTTGAGAGATGTCTCACGTGGAGCTTTGACTAGGTCCCAGGTGTCATTCTCCAGAAGAGCTCAAATCTCAGAATCCATTGCATCTTTCCAATGTGGTTCTGTTACAGCCTGCTAATAAGATCTAGGAATGTTTGTGGTAGATAAAATGGTAGAAAATGAGCTATGGTCTGGTGAATAACCATAACGGTTAGGTGGACGAGAAATTCTAGAGGAATGGTGTAAAGTATGAGCAATAGGTTCAGAAGAAGGTCCTGAACACTTACTGAGGCAACTAGAGTGACTGGATTAGCAATTGGAGGCGGAGTAGAAGGGGGGATGGAGACTGAAGAAGGTCATTGCTTCCTGAAGTAGGTCTGAAGTTGTTGCAGAGGTGACAATGGAGTATCCGATGTACCTATAGAATCAAAACTATGCAACAAGGAAATTGAAGGAGTTGGGAACTTCACAATATGTTCGAAAAATGACACACTTTCAAGAAAAAATACATTACGAGAAATTCAAAGATGACAAACCAAAAAGGTCATAGGAAAGATACCCTTTATGTTCAAAACTATACCCCATAAAGGCACACAAAGCTATTTGTGTAGTTAACTGTGTGTTCATGGGGTGGAAGGTGGACAAAACAAGCACATCCAAATACTCAGAGCATGGATAGGTCTGGGATTTGTGGAAGAGGGATTGAAAATGAGAGGAGTTGTTCAAAACTGATGACAGAAGATTTATAAGATACATAGCAGTGCTGGCCGCCTCCACCCAAAACCAAGAGGGTACGTAGGAATCTTGTAAAAGGGTTATGACTACACTCAAGATATGCCAATTTTTCCTTTCTGCAACCCCGTTTTGTTGTGGGGTGCTTAGACAAGACTTTTGGGTTTGAATTCCATGTTGTTTTAAGTAGTTTTGGAAATCTCCATCAATATACTTTCCCCCTGAATCCGACCGTAGCACACAAATTCGGGCATCAAACTGAGTGGCAACATAGGTGTGAATTGTGAAAGTGCTAAAATACGGAATACACTTCATATTTCTTTCGAAGAAAATAGGCCCAAGTGAAATGAGTGCAATCATTAATAAAGATTACAAAATATTTAAAACTCATTCGTGAGACAACTGGAGATGACCAAACATCACTATGTATTAAATAAAAAGGGATTGTTGCGTGTTCAGAATGAGAAGGAAAAGGCAAAATATGACTCTTACATAAGACACAAGTAATGCAGTCTTTATTCACATTTTTAAGAGAAACATTAGAAACAGGTAAACTACTAGAAAAAAACAACTAATCAAGTTTCTTAGAAAAAGGATGGCCCAGTCATTTATGCCACAACTGCCAATCTTTATTACAATTAACAAATTCAAAACTAGAAGCAGTAGAAATCAAACATGAAGTAGAAGCAGGCATAGTTTTATTCTTCTCAAATTCTAGAGCAAAGAGTCTTCCTAGTCTATGCCCCTTCCCTTTCACCTCCCTAGTTTGCCGATCCTGTATCAAACAACCATCAGAAGTAAATGAGACATTGTTACCTTCCTTTACAAGTTGGTCAACATAAATTAAATTGGTGGTAAGCTTAGGTACAAATAGGGTTTTGGACAAATGAAATGGAGATGATATAGAAGTAGATAAATATAAATCATTACATCCAAGTATATCTAATTTCTCACCATTAGCAGTAACAATGTGTTTATTGGGGAGATGGGGCTTATGACACTGACCAAGAGTGGCCCCTGTCATATGGTTAGAGGCTCCTGAGTCAATGTACCATAGATGATTCGGTGAGGGACAGTAGGTAGGGGACTTACCAGATAAGCCCATAGCAAAGAAGGCTGAAGAGATAACAGAGGACATGAGCTGTCGAATTCATTCCTCAGACATGCTACCTGAGGTGTCATTCTGCCCAGTCACAGAAGTAATGGAAGATGCTGCATCTGATCCATCTACACCTGTCTAAAAAGCCTTGTAGCTTCCTTTCTTCTAATTTGATTCACTGCTTTTCTGAAGCTGAGTGGGGCATTCAATGATAATATGACCATCCTGCTTACAGTAGGTGCATGTATTCTTTTTCTTGCATTGAGAAACAACATGTCCGAACTCCTTACATTCATAGCATTGTATTTTAGAGAAGTCCTTCCCTTTCGGTTTTGTTGCTAGAAAGACCGTATTAATGTTAGACTCATTCCTTCCATCCAGAGTAGTTTGTGTGGCAAATCTGGTTTCAACCCTCAGAATTTCACCGAGAATAGTATCCAAGTCGGGAAGTGTTCCTCAACTCAGGATATTAGATCTAACAACTTCGAATTCAGGTTTGAAATGCATTAGGAAGTGCATAATCTTTCTTCTATCGAAATGTTCCTTCATATACTTCACACAACATTCTGAAGGATCATTCCCCGCGTGCACAAGCTCATATTCAGTCCAAAGGTTAATAAACCCAACATAGTACTCTTGGACCTTTCTTTCTCCTTGATAATGGGAGATGTCAACCTCTATCTAGTACTGTCTTGAGGTATTTGATTGTTGATATACTCTTTCGAGATACTCATACATCTCACAAGCAGTCCAGTACCCTCTCATAGGAATTGCAATGTTAGTTTCAACGGATCCTAAGATCCAATATGCAATTTTTGCATTATCAATTCTCCATTGATTAGTACCCTTGAAGTCCGAATCATCAGGTTTAACTACTGATCAATCCAAATATCCCCAGAGGCCTTTCGCCTCCACATGAAATTGGAAATTGAATTTCCAAAGTGCATAGTTCGTACTATTAAACTTGATGGGGAGAACTTCCATTCTTCCTGATGCCATTGAATCACAAGAGCAAGAAAACACAGAGAGAAGTGTTCAAAACAGTAGAATAATGAAGTACCTTTCAGTCAATGTCTAGAAAAGGAAACTGTAAGGGTCTGTCAAACTCTGAAGTGGCTCAAAACCCTTCTAGATCAAATCCGATTCAAACCAAACCAATTGGAAATAGTAGATCTACCTTGGGCGACACTAAATCTAAAGTTTCAGCCTGATTTGATGCTTCTAGAGGGAGATCCAATCTGAAAGAGAAATCTGGTGGCACAACAGTCCAAGAACAGTCTGTCGAGTTCTGATTAAAAGCAGCTTTAGAAATCGAATTTAAGAGCACTCAAGAACCTCCCAAATACTATTAGGGAGTAATCTAGATAACAGATAAGAAAGAGGTGAGGAAGTAATCACTTGCAGATCAGATCGTGACCTGCTCTGATACCATGTCAGAGTCATATCGAAAAATTAAGAAAGAGAAAGAGAGAGAGACAACACAGTCGAATGGTGGGTGTGACAACTTCAGTCAACACCCTAAAAGAAATATTTATATTAAGTTGTAAAATGACAAATCTGCCCTTAATATACATGAGAGATATAATACAAAGAGAGATATACAGAAAAGGAAAGTAAAAGTACAAAAATAGCCCTACAACTAGATTTCACTGCCTCTACAAAGGGTTGAATTATTTTTTGTTACTCTATGATTGTATTCTGTTAAGAGTTTGTTTATGCTCTCACCTCTAAAGGGAGGCAACATCTCATGCTTCATCTTAGGGTGAATGTGCATTTCCTTTATTATTAATAAAATCATTATTCATTTATCAAAAAATGTAATGTGGAAAGCTACAAGGGCTGCTATACTTTGGGTGCTTTGGAAAGAAAGAAATAATAGAATCTTTCAAGATCCTGCACATTAAATAAGAGACTTAGTTGACAACATTGCCTTCAAAGTCGCACATTGGCCAAAGACTTTAAAGTTGTAATATTGATGATATTTTGAAGAATTGCAATGCAGTGGTGTCTTCTACGTCATCTAAGCATATGATTCAAGAGAGTTGGAGCCTCAAGTAGCTAAACTTTGATGGAAGTTCCTTGGGCAATTCTGGTCCTTCAGGAATAGGTGGTATGAGAGATGCAAAATGAAATATTATAGCTTTATACTCTCGACCAATAGGTTTGGGTGACTCTCCAAGGGCAAAAGTACTAGCCTTTCTTCAAGGGCTGAGATTGGCTAAGAATTTGGGCCTCCATCAGATTTAAGTAAAGGGGGATTTGAAGCTGATGATTGGGTGGCTATAGCTATAGACAGATATTATGGCAATTTGGACTCATAAGGGAGATTAGAAGCCTGTTAAAAGAGGGTGTACATTTCAGACGGGTTAGAAGATCGGCAGATGATCTGGTTCATTCTTTAGCCAGATGGGTGATTTGTTCTAGGCTGAATTTTACTTTAGGCGTTGGTTTTCCCTACTCTTAGGGACTGGAGTCTGGACAGTCTGGACCTGTGCTTCTTGTATAAGTTCTTCTATTATTAATGGAAGTTACAGAGTTACAGTTTCCCAGAGAGAGAGAGAGAGAGAAGTGATGTACCATAAATCCCAATTAAGGATTCGACTATGATGCCCAAAAGACTGATACCCGAGAACTTATAACCAATCGACAAACATCATAAACGTGATAACCAATCACCAATCAGGTGGGTTTTCATCAAAATTCACCCGGGGGGGGGGGTTGATTGGTTAACATCTTTCCAAATATCATGTCTTTCTAGCATCATAGATTTTTCCCTCAACCAAACTGGACTGTCCAAACAATGAATCTAATCAAAACAAAAGTCAAGGCTACCAAAGTGATCATCTGAGAGCAAGATCCGCAATCCACAACCAAGATTTTACATTTTCACTTAATCTTATGCATTCAATTAAACCACAAAAATTTCTAAAAATCTAGCCAAATAATACAACATAAGTGAAAGATCTGGCCATCTAAATGGCCTCTTAAAATCAATGAATTGATGCCATCCATTCATCCAAATTATGTACTGATATTTCAAATAATTTAGTCCAGTTGAGGTACCAAACCAAAAGATCTAAACTGTTAAAGTGACATTCTAAGATCAGTTGACTAATCTCAACAATCCAAGCGATAGGGGTTCAACTAGGGTTGGGTTGACCTGAGCATTTATAAAATTTTGAATAGGCCCCCAAACCTAAACCCAGTGTAATTGAAATGCTTCATCTTGGGCAATCCGACTACCATCCCTACCAAGTAATACCAGACTTCCAGTTTTCAACTAATCTAGGCCATCCAAATAATGTACCAGTTCAACCCAACAATCAAGGCCATTCAAATAATGTACCAGATCAACCCAACAATCAAGGCCATTCAAATAATGTACCAGATCAACCCAACAATGAAGGCAATCAAAGTGGTCTCCATGGATTAATATCACCCATCCAAGTGATGTACCAAATTAAACCAAAGATCTGGTTTGTCAAAGTGGTATCTCTAACTGAATTAATGAATTTAAGCCATCCTAGTCATGTGCCAAAGTTTTCATAAGGTAGAACATATGATCTCTGCCATTAATAAAAATCAATCATTAAATAGTAAAGGAGGCTAGGGCTTCACACCCCCAAAAGTACGGGGGTCCTCATAATTTACCCTCTCCTTTTTCCTTTTGTATATTTTAGGTTTTAGGCAAGGTTCAAAGTATCAATACGATACGCCCTGTATCACAGGGCATATTGTATTGTATCTTTGGGTGCCAGATACACTTATTTACAGGTGTTTTCGGGAACCCCTTGTTTATTAAATATATATAATTATACTTAAAATTGAAATTTGAAAAAAAAAATTAAAAAATAAAAGGTGCATCACTTAAAGTACCAATACACCTCTGCTGATACACAGGTGTATCGTTTTACATTCTTCAATGTCATACAAGTCTCTGCCTTAAATGGACTGATAAAGAGAGGATTTCGATATTTCAACCTCGAACACGAGGTTCTAAATTGTTATTAGTCTTGAGACTTATACCATCTAACATAATATCTAGGATCAGGTCAACTACTCCATCAATCAACTCACAGTCAGAGATGTTCGACAAAGCAACTTACTCAAACTCCATTGTAATCTAGCAGAGCGTTTGTTCCCAAGTGGAAAGCTTCTTTCTTTCAATTCTACAGACCCACATTTAGTGTTCATCGTCAATTGCCAATGGAACAGATTTCACCTGACAGACAACAGAGGGAAAATGGTTTTATTGTCTCTTCCATACGTTCATATGCTAAAGGAAAAAAAAAGTTCATTAGGAAAATACTATATGCAAATCCACACAGTAAAGGTGCTATCGTGTTACAAACGCAAAACTGGATACTAATAGTGTGACAAGTCATATGTTGAACGTGCATTAATGCTATGTAATATTTAGGTGCCCAAGTGTCATTTCCTTTCAATTTACTTCTCTGTTTTAGTTGAATTCCTTACACGATAGTAAAGGTGCTATCGTGTTACAGATGCATATGTATGATCGATTACAAGATGTATTGTGAGTTGAGACAAGGTATGAAGGTACCACCTTGACTGGGGCAGGACTTCAGATGTATTATGTAAGATGGATTTGTATCCCTTATTCCATTACACTTACCAAATCTGTATTCCTTATTTTTTTATCAACATCTGTATTCCTTATTGCCTTACACTAATCAAATGTGTATTCCTTATTCTATAATTGGGTCTCAGGTTGGGTTTGGGTTGAGGCTGACCAGTGCCGAATGCAACTCTGTTGATATTGTAGCTTTGAAACATTTGTAAATATAGATTTAATTGACCATAGGTAAAATATGTGTTTGACGGGGTGGGGTGCGTTTGATATCCTATTTCACTTAGTTGAGTTGGGGTTGGGTACAGGTTAGAGTAACTTCAGGTCAGGTTCAACTTGAGGAAAACCTGTACCAAACCCTACCCCAGGATCAAAATATCAATACTATTTTTATTGATCAATAACAAAGGATTTCATTAATTAGAGAAAAAGGAATTCAAAGGGGAGATAACCTCTCTTATCTCCCCCACACAAGAAACATGGCAGAAAATAACAGTTGAGCCCAAAACAAGTTCTTTCTCCCTATTCACCCCTTGCTTTGCTAACCCATCAGCAAAGGAGTTTGCACATGTCTTAGCCCAAGCTACTTTAACTTCCATTTCTTTTGTCAACCACTTGAATTGTTTCTTCTCATTGCCGTACATCCAGTCCAGTTTTATCTCCCTTTGGCCAATTTATCACCAGCTTAGAATCTCCTTCGTTGATCAGCTCCTCAAGTTTAAGTCCTTAGCTCTCTGAACACCTTCTAAAGCTGCCAAAATCTTAGCTCTAAGAGAGTCACCCTGTTCAATTGGGCCTGAGAACAAAGCAGTAATTTTCCCTTTCTCATCCCTTAAAACACCCACAATACCCAAAGGCCCTAGGTTTCCAATGCTGCTTCCATCAAAGTTCAATTTATAGAATCCACTTGGAGGGGGGACCAAGTTGGAACTGAAACCTCTTGAACCGGGGCTGAAAAGGCAATTTCTTTCCATTTTCTTGACAAATCATCTATTGAGACATTGTTGAAGAGATCCATTGATTTAAGCCAATGGAATACCTTGGAGCAAATCACCTCCTGAATGGTTTCCTTATTCCTCTCTTTCCCTGAAAAAATTCTGGAATTCCTTTCTTCCTATACAGTCCAAACAACAGTAGCTCTCACAATGCGACATTATTTTTTTTTTTTTTGATAGGAAACGGTAACTTTCATTAGATAAAACCATAAGAAACAACTGTCACCTTCCAAAGTAAAAAGGTGACCCCTGAATAACAAAAATCTTACAACACTGCACAAAACAAAAACTCCCGATTCACCCCCTGTTTTGCTAGGTAGTCAGCTAAAGCATTTGCTGACCTCCTAGACCAATACACTTTTGCATCCAGCTCCCTTGTGAGGCTCAATAATTCCCTTACCTGTTGTTTAAGGGACCACGTTCCCAAACTGTTTGATTGCAGCCATCCTACTACTAATTTTGAATGCCCCTCCACTTCCAACTGTTGGAAACCCAATTGCCTGGCCCATCTGAGCCCCTAGAGGAGCACCAAAACTTCAGCTCTAAGCGAGTCCCCCACACCTATTGGGCAAGAATACAGAGCTAGGAATTTTCCTTCCGCATCTCTAAACACACCCCCTATTCCAGAAGGTCCGGGGTTCCCAATAGAGCTGCCATCAAAGTTCAGTTTGACATGACACTGCAAAGGAGGGGACCAAACTGCTTGTATGGTAGGTGATGAAGTAGAAGATCTGGCTAAAATATTCCAGCCTCTAATCAAATCATCTGTAGAGACATCCTTGAACAAGTCAAGAGTTTTCAGCCAATGTACTGCCTTGATGGTGATCCCCAATAACTTCAGGAGCTGATTTTTCTTTCCCTTGGAAAATCCTATTGTTTTTCTCTTCCCATACTGCCCACAAGATAGCTTCCCTCGTTGTTCTCCACATCACCCTTCCTTTCTTCTTTGGTTGTCGGAAAAGGCTAGGGTCAAATAAATCCGCTACACTTGTGGGAGGATTCCACCTATAATCAAAGAGAGAGGAGAACCAATCCCAAATTAGAGCACTAAAAGGACAAGAAATTAATAGGTGATTCACCGTCTCACCATTCCTCAAACAAAGGCTACAGACATGAGGTGACAAGCACCAATTTGGTCTCTTTCTTTGAAGCACCTCCAAGGTATTGATTTTTTGGAGAATCACTTCCCAACAAAAGCCCTTACTTTTGGGGGGACCGGAGCACTCCAAACTTCTTTAACAGGAAAAGAGGAAACCAGGTTAGAATGAAGGACCAAAGCATTGAGAAACGAAGAACAAGAAAAAATACCTATAGAAGTTTCTGCCGAAACTCTACTGTCCGGAGAGGAGTGGTCTAGAAAAACTGAATTTAGAAGAGAAAAAATGTCAATTGCTGATTCCACTTCTGAGTCCTTCAAACCTCTCCTTAGTCCCAAATCCCAAGAATCCCTAGAAGTACGAAAAGAAGAGATAAATAGAGATTCTTTCAAAGAAAGGGAATAAAGGTTCGGGAATCAATCCTTAAGAGGAGATTCCCCAATCCACAAGTCCTCCCAAAAAAGAATTTTATTACCCACACAAGCATCATACTTGATGAAAGGATAGAAGAAAGGCAAGATACCAACAATATCTTTCCATGGGGAAAAACGCGAAGCCCTTGGGTCGAGTCTAGCATCCCATCCATTTGCTGTCATTCCATGAATACTTCTTATCACCTTATGCCATAGACTCTCTTGCTCCTTAGGAAACCACTATAACCATTTGCCTAACAAAGTTGCATTTCTTACTCTAATATTTCCAATCCCTAAACCGCCTTTGTCTTTCTTTCTAGACACCACTTCCCATTTTACCCTATGATCCTTTTTGGTATCTCCAGGCTCCCACAGAAAATCTCTCATTATTTTTTCAATCTGGTTTGCAATCTTAACAGACAATTTGAAGGTAGACAAAAAGTACACTGGCAAATTTGCTAGTGTTGACTTAATTAGAGTGATTCTACCCCCAAAGAAATGTAGTTCCTTTTCCAACCCACTAGTCTTTTTGAGAATCTTTCCAAGACTAGGTACCAAAAGCTAACAGACCTCGAACTTCCTCCCAAAGGTAAGCCTAAATACTTAAGGGGCCATTTACTTACCTCACAACCTAGAGATCTAGCCAACAATGCCACCTGACCTTCTTGCCTATTAATTCTAGCTACACAACTTTTATTCCAATTTACTCTCAAGTTGGAGGCCTTTTCAAAATTCTCTACCAAGACCTTTAAATTTTCCAACTCCTCCGGATCTCCTTCACAAAAGAGAATCAAGTCATCGGCAAATTGAAGGTGGGTTACAACTATTTCTTCCCTCCCTACTCTCCACCCTCTAATCAAATTTCTAGCATTGGCTCTAGTAATCTGGACACTGAACACATCAACTATCAAGGTGAAAAGGAAAGGAGAAAGAGGGTCCCCTTGTCTTAATCCTCTCTTTGCCGGGAAGAAATCCTTGGCTACCCCATTTACTAGAATGGAGTAGTGACATGAAGAGATACAGCCCTTAATCCACATGCACCACCTCACAATGTGACATTATTCTTCCCCTTTTCTTTGGCAATCTAGAAAAGGAAGGAGCAAACAAACTTTTCACATCTAGTGGCGGGGCCCACCTGCATCTAAACAAAACTTAGTCCCATAAACCTTTAACAAATGAGCAAGAGATCAATAAATGGTAGCAATTCTCACCAACAACCTTACAAAGACAACACCAATAAGGAGACAAACAGCTCTTTGGTCTTTTTCTTTTCGAGTAAGCTTCCCAGCAAAAATAACCAATCCTAGGAGGGATCGGTTTGCTCCACACCTCTTTAATAGGAAAAGGTAAACCCCTAATAGTTTCTGGTTGGATTAGGGTGTTGAAAAAGGAAGAGCAAATAAATAGACCATGAGGAGTGGGGGTCAACCAAGTACACTCAAGAGAGACAAAGTACTACTTAACTCAGTATCCCTAATAGCCCTTCTTAAACCCAAATCTCAACCAAAACCAGAACCGGAATTGTAAGGAACCAGGAAGGTAGAGATAGGCTCATTTTTATAAAGCAACAAAACAAACATGAAAGGGTATTGGTCCCTTAAAGGAGAATTCCCTGCCCACATATGTTCCCAAAATTTAATACCATTCCCAGAATGCAAATCATACCTATCCAAGGCAAGAACAAGGAAGGATAGCTTGGATGGCTTTCAACGAGGATGCTCTTGTAGTCCTTGCTATGATTCCAATGTCCCAACCATTTGCCGCAGCCCCATGCATGCTCACCACTACCTTTGCCCACAACTTTTCTTTCTCATCAGGAAATCTCCACAACCACTTGCCTAAAAGAGCTGAGTTTCATTTCTGTACATTCCCAACTCCCAAACCTCCTAACTTTTTGCTCCTACAGCCACATCCCACCTAACCCTATGATCCTTTATTTCCTCCCCCGATTTCCAAAGAAAGTCCCTCATTAGGTTTTCCAACTTCCTAGCTATTCCATTGGGAATTTTAAATATTGACAAAAAATAAACAAGCAAGTTAGCTAGAGTGGACCTAATTAAAGTAACCCTTCTACCCATAGATAAGTAATTTTGTTTCCAAGAGGAAAGTCTCTTTTCAAATCTCTCCACCACTGGGGACCAAAAACTCACTTTCCTAGGATTATTACCTAGAGGGAGACCTAGGTATTTCATAGGCCAACTAGAAACCGCACACCCTAATATATCAACACACTCATCCAGTCATCCAGTCTCAAAATTTACCTTTTAGTTTCACATTTGCTCAAAAAGTTGCCCCAAAACTTTGAGATTCCTAATCACCCCAGATCTTCACCATAAAAAAAATAGAATTGTATCATCAACAAACTATAGATGAGTAATAGATACCTCTTCCCCACCAATTCTCCATCCTCTTATTAGACTTCTAGAGTTTGCTTTTGAAATTAATCTTCCCAACACATTTGCTATTAGGGTGATTAGGAAAGGAGAGAGGTCTCTGTCTTACACCCCTTAAGGTCGGAAAGAAATCTACTACTGTTCCATTCACCATAATAAAATAATGGCAAGTCCTCAAACACCCCATCACCCATTTACACTAGGGTTGCAAGTCGGGCCGGGTTAGGTTGGGTTGAGGCCAATCCTAGCCCAACCCTAAGTTCTAAACCCCCAACCCTAACCCTAACTAAATTCCTTTAACCCTAACTAACCCAACCTTCTTCCCATCCCTTAAAATCTCGTAGAACTTCTTAATCTCAGATCTTAACTAAATTCCTTTAATCCTATGTTTTATTAGTATTTGTTTGTTGATGTTTTTATTGGTTCTTTAAGTACAAAATTAAAAAAAAAAGTTTGAAATGATTATAGTTTATTATGAGTTATAACTTATAATAGATCTTTTATGGGCAGTAAGCTATGGGTGGCAAACAACAAAGAGGAGATAAAGAATAAAATATGCAAAAAACATAAAAAATGTTATTAAGGTTTTGACATTTCAAATTAGGATTAAGTGAAGTGATTATCTTAAAAGAAATAAATGATAGTATGTAGTAGGGGCTATACAACTATCATGAATATAAACAAATCAATGTATGATATCATATATATATATATGTTATATATATATATATATATGATATAACATATATTTATATACGATATGTACTATAGAGTCGGGTTGCTCGAGGGGTCAACCCTAACCCAGCCCTAAGTAAAGTCAGGTTCATAAATTTCAACCCTAACCCGAGCATCAACTCGACCCAGCCCAACCCAACATTTTCAGGTTGAGTTAGGGTTGGGTTTGGGCCAACCTGACCCAAGTTGCAGCCTTAATTTACACCATCTACCTCCAAATCCAAAGCATCCCATCACCTCCCTCAAGAAGGACCAATCCACCATATTGTAGGCTTTTTCTAAGTCAAGCTTACACACCACTCCTTTCCACCTAGACCTCCTCATATCCTCCATACATTTATTGGCTATCAGAATTTGATCCACAATTTGCCTCCCCTACACAAAAGCCCCTTGATTGGGGGAAATGATGGTAGGAAGGACAAGCCTAATCTTGAGAGATAACACCTTAGTAATGATTTTGTATAAACTATTCACCAAGCTGAGTGGTTGAAAGTTTCTCGGGTGGGTGGCATCAGATTTTTTGAGCACCAAAGCAATGAAAGTAGAGTTCAAGCCTGGATTAGTTACCCCTCTCCTGTAAAATTCATCAAACACTAGCATAATGCCCTTTTTCAATGTCCCAATAGTCTTGGTAGAAAGCCATTGTGAAACCATCAGGGCCCGGAGCTTTTGATCTATCTATCGAAAACACAACCTCTTGTACTTTAGCCAGATCAAATTCTCTTTCCAACCACTTACAAGTCTCTTCTCCTAAGGTTAGCCACTCCAAACCTTCTAGCCACACTCTTATCACTCAGTGGTCTTCTAAAGATAGATATGAAATGATCCACAAGGGCCTTCTAAAGATAGATATGAAATGATCCACAAGGGCCCCTGCTATCTCATTCTGGTGTGTATCCATGGAGACACATGGATACATTGATACATAGAAGTTTTTGAAACTCTAAAACTTTGGGGTGATAGATTACATCCCTATAAGCTCATAAAAAAAGGAATAAAAAAATATGGTATTGGTCATATTGATAAGCATTGATGCATATGGATATTTTGATCCTTGACCTCACCCATTGACATCCCTAAATGTGTACATGGTAGCCTTGAATACTACATACCTGGTGCATTCTGTGGGACCCAGTGCCAAACCAAAATAGACAAAACACCCTCTTCCCTCTCCCTCCCCATGCATAATACACAAAACGGTTTAACCAATCCACATAAATAGCATTCTAGTTTAGGTTTTACATGCATTGGTTAAACCAGTTCAAATGGACATCAACTACATGCTCAATTTGCTTCTCATGCACTTGAAGCCCTTTTGAAGGGGTTCCTGATCATCCAGTCTGCATAGGCAAAGGAGACTGTTGAGGCACTCACCAAATCTCGAAACTTTAAAAGGTAGAACATCTCCAAGTATCTCCGGGTTTCCCGCCTTTCAAGCTTTGATACATACTTCCAAAACCCGTAAACCCCAGCCAGGGTCATTAGCCTTTCAGAATATATCTTCCATGTATACCTTCAAAATCACCACAAAAATTGTGATATGGAAGGAAATAGAGGTTGTTGATACAAAGGTCAAAATCAAGTAATAAGGTACCAGGTCCAAGAAATGACAAACCTTTCATGGATTCGTTGAAGCCCCGCATTAGAAATCTTATTCCAGTAGCCAGGATCATTTTTGCACTGCTCAAAGAAATCAACCATAACTGTAGCAGCTTCATCAGGATGATAAGGATCAATATGGAAACCCGATACACTATGTTTAATAATTTCAGCAGGTCCTCCATGACATGTGGCAAATGTTGGTAGACCACAAGTCATGGCCTCTACAACTGTAAGCCCAAAAGCTTCATAAAAAGCAGGCTGCAGAAAAGCAGTTAAAAGAAAAGAAAGAGTTAACTATAACATGGGGAGTTCAAAGTATGGAAAACAGAGTCAACCATCAATACATACCTGCACGAAAGCACCTTTTGTGTCAGCAATGTAACGATAGAGTTCACCATTGCGTGCCTGGTTCATTTGGGCTGAAATCCAACGGAGCTGCCCATCTAGATTGTACTGCTTCATCAGGCCGTGCATTTTCTCTATCTCTGCAATTTCTTCCCTGTCTTTGGATTTCTTCGTATCATTGTAACCAGCGACAACAACAAGGTTTACCAATTCCCTCAGTTTGGAGCTCCTACCATAGCAGTCAACAAGCCCTGTTATGTTTTTCACCTTATCAAGCCTTGCCATGGAAAAGAGGATGGGCTTTGAGTGATCGGTCAAAGTACCACTGCAGTTGCAGAAAGGAGCAAATTTAAGAACTGCTGAAACCAAAAAAGATACTGCACTTGTGTCAAGTCTTACAAGGAACTCCTATGAGAACTTAATTTAGGAAGTTCTTTTTTCATTTTTCCTTTAAAAAGATCCCACAACATTGTAACTTACGATCTTCTCAACAAGATCATTGGTTATAAATACAAATGTATGTAAGTAAAGAAATGCATTCATAATTTTCTGTAGTTAACCTTACATGATGGTTCAATAGCCACCTATCCTTTGACATATTCTAGAAATTCACCCAATTTCAGTACGCACATATCATTCTGTGTGTTACATTCTGTGCATAAGAGATTCATGTCCACACTAGAAGAATCATAAACAAATGAAAGGTGAGAAGATAACATTGAAACAAGTTGGAAGAGAAGTGGAATAAAGAACTCACATGTGTTCATCATTCTGTTCTGGATCATATATGAGTTTTTCAATTGAATCATGTAGGGCAGTAAGTCTCTTTTCCTTCTCTAAGTATGGAAAATAAATGCTCATGTCTGCTCCAGGAGAGACAATATTGAATTTTGGATCAAAAACATCAATACCATGAACAACGCGGTACAGCCCCGGAAGAGTGAAAGCCATGTGACTCTCATACTGTCCAACAGTATTCTTGCTGAAACAAAGAGCATTGAACTTAAAGTACTGTACTTTTTCAGTTGCCACACAAGCATTGAATCTAGCATTTGCTGTTGCTAAATTGCCCCAAAAAGTTATTACAAAAAAATTGCCCAATAAGTAATAAGTTCTAAGTTATAGATGCGTTTTGGATTGAACAGCAGAAATATCTCACACTTATGGTAATAATATTTATTTCAACATAGTAGCATATGATTGAAACTAGATTATGATAATAATGCTTCACCTTGCATTGATATCTCACAATTTTCCTATTATATAGGATGGACAATCCAAACAAGAACATCTGTCTACTCTTCATCTTCATGCAAATAAAAATAGATATGTGAGGAATGAGGATAACCATGTCATGCACGAGAATTTATGACAACGGTAGAAAAATCCCATTGTCTAATTTGCAAAACATTTTGTCCCCGTGGGTAGGGGTGATCATCAAAAACAAAAAAAAAACAAAAACTTAACCAAACTGAAAAATCCGGTTAACCAAACTGATCAGTTCGGTGTTTTAGGAAAACCAAAGCTACCAGTTTGGCTTTGGTTAACCAATATGCAAAACCAGCAGTTAACCGAACCGGTCGGTGTATATATTTATAAATATTATATATATTTTTCATGCATATTATATATGTTTTTCATATATATTATGTATTAAATATAAATATATATGCATTATATATAAATATATTTATAATATATAACATATTGTTTATTATTTATAATATAATATATTACATATATTTCTAGTATTTATATTATATGATTATATATTTATTTATAGCTTATATTATAAATTCAAAAAAAACCGAAAAACTGAAGAACCAAACTGAACAAAAACAGAACCAATCAATCAGTTAATCAATTAGTTTCAGTTCGGTTTTGGTTTCCAGTTTTCCAAAAACCGGTGGTACCGGTTCAGTTCGAAAAAAAGTCCCATGGTTTGTAAACGATATGTTATATATTATAACCCTGTGGGTAAGCTGGACTTAATCACCCAACCTCATGTTTGTAAACTATTTGATCAATGGCTCAAAAATAACTATTAGTAGCCAGAAAGTAAGCGAAATGTATACCCAAGGTAACCATCTGATTTACATAAAATTCTGCAAATAGCTTTTTTTTTTCTACTACCAATAATGGACATGCGTCCAGATAGTCCATTTAGAAAGATATTTAGTGTGAGTGGATCTTATGCATGGCATACATATTAGATAATGAGATGAGAAATTATGAGAGTCAAAAAGAAGATAGCCTGATTATCCATATCAACATCAAGGATAAACTAAAAATATAGAACGTTGTGTTCAAAAGTTGAATATCAAATTGTATAAAAACACACCAAAAGAAGGGGCATCAACATCTTTTCAGCCTCTTTCCCTTTCTGCAATCTGGGCACAGAGAAGGTAGATCATCTATTCTTGCATCACACTTGGAACAGGAAAATCTGGGCTCATTTCCTAAGTTCCTTGCAGTTGTGTTGGGTTTTTCTTAAGACCATTCACAATTTTCTGGAAAGCCGGTGCATTGGTGGATTGGGCAGCAATGGGAAAATCATTTGGCACATTCTTCCTGCTGCTGTTTTGTAGTCTATCTGAACGGAGACAAGTAATAGAGATTTTGAGAACAAATCCTCTTAATTAGATGAAATCTGCCAATAATATTTCTGCAAATATTATTTCTTGGTCAAACACTCCCACCATTATGGCTGATACATTTTTTTGCAACTAGTATATACTTCATCTTATGCGAATGCTGTACAGTCACTCAGGACCAAATACAACATAAAATGCATATTTTTTTAAATATTTTCTTACCGTCAAGATGACAGAAAGAAAGATGCTGATTACTAGAGAGAAGAAGAGAGTTGACAATAATAGATTGTCATGGGTCGGGGGAGGGGGAGAATATGGGAGTTCAGATTGGCACCCCCCATAGAGCGCACCCCACTCCCCACAGGCGCCCCACATGCACACCTCAGTGTGCATTGGGAACATCTCCCATACTTGTAACTTGTCATGGGGAGATGTTCCCAATACATGGCTGGGATGGGCTGTTGGGCACACTCTTGGGGCGCTGATGTGAATTCCGAATATGGGAATGTCCTTCTTACCCTTCATCCTGGAAGTCATAAGAATAGCACTTGTTTTTATTGGAAAATGAGAAGTAAAAGGCAATGCAACTACTAACCATAAAGTACGAAGAAATCGGGTAGTAGAACTTTCCGATCTGTAAGGTTGTTGGCTCTGCTTCTCTTTATGGACCTCAAATTATTTCTAGGGTTATGTATTTAGAGAGAGATTATATATCCATCATATTCTCTAGTGTATTACACGTGCAAACATACATTTCAAACAAACTAACTAGATGGGTTGAAACAAGAAAACCAGTTTGAAGCAGGTTGACCTGAGCAGGTCAAAATTTTAGTTTTACATCCATTCCCATTTTTAAAAAAACATAGCATCTACATGCCAACATTTTTCACAACAAAAGGCACCTAAGGACCCAATTAGTAGTTCATTGTTTTGCAGAGTCTCCCTGTAAAGTAAGTTATGTTGAGCTTTACAAAATGTCTATATTGTTGTTTTATGAAGTATGGCTTTCTTATAAGAATTTATTTTTCTCTTATAAACTGAAATAATTCATATTTTGGTGTGGATTCAGGGTTGTAGAACTGGACATGTAACAATTACAGGTAGACAAAATCCACTTTAGAGGGATTGACTTAAGGTCAGGCATAACAATTGATAAGCTTAAGGGTCATAGTATATCAGCTTGATATCATTGTTCTATCACATTAACAAGCGGAAAGTGTTGATGAGCAAATTGGGAAAACAGAAGCACTGGCCATATGTTTCAGAGTGGAATGGTGGAACAGGATTTATGTAGCCAATCCCATCTTTGTAGAGTTGAATTGACTTTAGTTGAGAACTCATATGTTTACTTGGTTGTGCAATTATGGCATTGTTAAAGAAAGATCAAAATAAAATAGGAATCTAGCTTACGGTTAGAAGGTCTTTAAAACCTGCTCCTAGAGAATATACCAAGATTAACAAATTACCCCAGTGATCAGTGAACAAAGTCCTTGAACATTTATTTTGACAAGTAAATAAGAATTTTTTATAAAAGGAGTGGTGAGGACAAAAAGCCTCATATTGCATGGGGGCAACTATAGATTGAGATTAAAAACCACAATATCCATCAGCCAAATCTGCAAAAATTATGGCTCTTACGAGAGTCGGAAAAAATTGGATTAACAAAATCCTTAAACATTTGAAGACAACTTAAAGGTACAGACCATTTCAAATACAAAGTCACAGCTTAGGGACTTGCCTTCCTGCAATCTCTTGATATGTACTTGTGATGATAAAATCTGCATTGTTCATGGCAATTAGATCAGCAGTAAATTGGCAAGAAAAATGGTACTTTTCCTCAAATTTCTTCCAATAGATATCAGAATCCGGATACTTTGTTTTTTCCAATGCATGAGCAATTGTACACTGCATTTTGGAGTGTAAAATTTTAAAATTTAAGAGTACAGTTTTCACAAGATAAACTGATGACTACATTTATAATGCATAACAGAAAAACAAAATGTAACAAACCTGTGTTATTCCTAGCTTATAAGATAACAAAGTTGCAACAAGATTCCCATCACTATAGTTGCCAATGATCAGATCTGGAATACCCTGTAGCTCAGCAGCAATTTCACTTGATGCGTCCTAATACAACATGCAACTGTTGAGGAACATCCCATAAACATATAAAATAAGAAACCAACTGATTTTTTTTTTTTTTTTGGAAAAGGTAAAGTAATATTTATTGAGAATGAAATACACACTGGAGGCTGAGATCAGTCCCAAAACAGGCTGACTGATCTAAACAGCGATTACAGAAGCCATCAAGACAAGGAAAAAAATACATCTGATACATTACAGTTTCTAAAATCTGCCGCCACAGACAACCAAGAAATCAGTTTGCCCACTAACTTCTGGGTTAGGTCCTCCAGACTTAGAAACTTGTTGCTGAACACCCTTCTATTCCTCTCGGTCCAGATACACCACATTACAGCACTTGGAATCATTTTCCATAGTCTTCTTTTTCTTGCTCCAGCCCACAATATGCCAGCAGCATAACAGCTCTTTTACCGACCTCAGCATCACCCAACAAACCTTCAAGGACTTGAGGAGGTGGTTCCACAACTGAGCCGAGAACGGGCAGTGTAAACGCAGATGATCAGTAGATTCAGCACTGCACCCACATAAGCTGCAAGACTGGTCCAAAATCCGAATTCCCCTGCTTACAAGGTTCTCCTTGGAAAGGCATTTGTTAAGAGCCATAGTCCAAACAAGGAAACTGGCTTTAGTCGGACTGATAGGATTCCACACTTGCTGAACTGGGAAATCAGGAACAYCCYTCCTACCAAKCCTRGCYRCCAAAGATTTAACAGAGAATATCCCATCAGGATTCCACTTCCAATGCCACTTATCCTCCATACTAAAGTCCATCTCTTGATGCTGGAAACAGGTCAAAAGATTCACTGCCTCATCCACCTCCCGATCAAAGAGATTTCTTCAGAAAGAGGGAGTCCAAAGAACAGAACCACCAGAAATACTATAGCACTCAGCAACTGAGGCCTCTTGGTCTGAAGCACACTGGAAGATGAGAGGGAAGGACTCAGCAAGAGGAACATCTGAGCACCAAGGGTCCTTCCAGAATTTGATCCTATTACCATTACCAGCCCTGACTGAGATCCCCCTGGCCAACTCTGGAAAGTGCTTCATTATCCCCTTCCACAAAGAGTTACCCCAGTTAGGAGGGGGGTCCCTAGATCTCCAATTTCCCCAGCTCACACCATATTTGCTAGCTATGAGAGATCTCCACCAAGCATTAGATTCTACAGCAAATCTCCAAATCCATTTACATAGGAGGGCAGAGTTGAAATATTTCAGCTTCCTTATACCTAACCCCCCTTCAGATTTGGGGAGACAGACTTGTTCCCAACTCACCAAGTGCACTTTTTTCTCCTCCTCCCAGACTCTCCAAAGGAAATTCCGTTGAAGCTTTTCAATCTGATTTGCCACCTTCTTAGGAATAGAGAAAAGAGATAGGAAGTAGGTAGGCAAATTGGAGAGAGTACTTTTAATCAGAGTCACCCTCCCCTCAACAGAAAGGCATTTTGCCTTCCAAGAAGCCAGCTTCCTTTCCAATCTCTCAATAACTGGGACCCAAATAGCAGAGGAACCCGACTGGGAGTCCCAAATATTTAACCGGGAGAGATTCAATCTGGCAAACCAGAATACCAGCACACTCAGCTAAGTTGGAAACATGTCCAACTGGGATAATTTGGCTCTTATTCCAATTGACTTTCAAACCTGTAATCACTTCAAACCAAGAGAGAATCCCAAGAATTAGCTCCACCTGAGAGGGGGAAGCATCCACAAAACATACTGTATCATCTGCAAATTGAAGAATATTCACCTTCTCTCCCCCCGGCACCATTGCAAAACCTTCCCAATCCCTTGACTCAGCAGTCTTCTTTCAGAAAAGAGTGAGGATCTCCATTACACATATAAATAAAAGAGGAGATAAAGGGTCTCCCTGCCTAAGACCCCTGGAACTATCAAAGAAACCTGCAGACTGTCCGTTTACCAAGACTGAGAACTTTGGGGAAGTGATACATACTTTCATCCAATTCCTCCATTTCTGCCCAAAATTCATCTGAAGAAGCACAAGGTCTACACATCTCCAGTTAACATGATTGTAGGCCTTCTCAATATCAAGTTTACAAATCAAACCCGGAGAATCTTCTTTTTTTCCTGTAATGAATGAGCTCATTGGCAATAAGAACTGAATCTAGCATCTGTCTACCCAAAATAAAAGCACTTTGGTTATTTGAGATAACCCTACCAAGAACTGCTTTCAATCTTTCAGCAAGGACTTTAGCTAGGATTTTATAGAAGCTATGCAACAGACTAATTGTCCTAAAATCCTTAATATTCACAGCACCTTCAATCTTTGGAATGAGAGTTATAAAGGTAATGTTCAGACTTCTCTACAATGAACCCCTCTCAAAAAAGTCCTGGAAAACATTCAATATATCCTGTCTCACCATGTCCCAGCATTTAATGTAGAAGAGATTTGTAAGACCATCAGGCCCTGGAGACTTTTCATCAGCCAACAACTTGATAGCTTCTTTAACTTCCTCCTCAGAAAAAGGTCTCTCAATGAAAGAAGACTGCTCATCACTCAGCTGGTTAAAAGAAAGGGATCTTGGAAAAGGTCTGAATGCCCAAGATTCCTTATACAACTTCTTGTAAAAGCTAGTTGCCACTAGCTTCATATTAGACTCAGTGATACCTACCCTGCCCTCTCCCTCCAGCCTAGTAATTACAGAAGCTCTAGCTTTGGCATTTGCCATTTTGTGAAAATAATGTGTATTCCTATCCCCCTCTTTCAGCCATGCCACTTTGGTTCTTTGCCTCCATTCAATTTCTTCTGCCACTACCAATTTGTCAAACTTCAACTTAGCCTGAAATCTTTTTAATCTGAGCTCCTCAGCAATAGGACCTAATTCTTAAGCTGTGTCAATCTCCTTTATGGTACTCAGTAGAGCCTTCTTCTCAGTATCTAGATTCAAACTTTTCTCCAATTTCCAAATCTTTAGCCTTGCTTCAATGGCTCCCAATTTCTTTGCTAAGATGAATGAACTAGTACCTCCCACCTGCATATCCTCCCAAACAGACTTCAACAACGGAACTGGAGAGCCATCCTCAAACCAAGCATTCTCTAATTTGAACGGAACTTTTGTTCTCACTCTATCACCACAAACTAGTTGAATAGGAATATGGTCTGACACTGGTCTTGGAAGGGCAATCTGCTTAAACTCCAGAAAATATCCTCCCAGTTAGAAGTAACCAGAAACCTATCTAGCCTCACTAGGGTAGGAAGGTCTTGATTGTTGGTCCAAGTATACCTATTTCCATGAAGGGGTAAATCTTGAAGCTCAAATCTGTTGATAAAATCAGCAAATTGCACCATATCCCTAGATCTTCTTCACCCCGAGCTTCTCTCATCCCCAAAAAGAGTACATTAAAGTCCCCACCAATAACCCATAGGCAATCCAGACTTCCCCTAGCCACTACCAGCTCCTCCCAAAACTCCTCCCTCCGACTTCGGTCATTAGGACCATACACATTAGTAACCTGACACACATTTCCATCTGCAAGTTTTGAGACAAGAGAAATTGAAAAAAGTCCAATCTGATGAGAGATCAAGCTGCAAACAGTCGGGTCCCACATACTCAGTAACTCCCCTGCACTACCAGCTGCTGACTTTGACCTCCACCTAACCTCTCCCTCCCCCCAGATACTTCTAACCACTCCGACCTCCACAGATTCCAATTTAGTTTCTTGAATCAATACCACTTTTGAACCTGAATTTTTCAGAATCACAAACTACCAGCCTCCTTCTCCCCGACCCCAACCCCCTAACATTCCAAGATAATATCTTAAGCTTCATAACAAACTAGGAATAACAGAACACTTGGCACTTAAGCCTTTCTCCCCCCCTCCCCTCACTCCTACCAACTTTATCATTAAGATTCCAAGTCAAGCGTAGCAATTCTCTACTTCTTTTAGATTTGTTGCCCCCCTTCTTTACTACAGCTTTCCCCATGGCCATACTCATTCTTTTCTCTATCCCCTACAAGTGCTTAATTGTTTCCTCTTCCAAGCCTTCTAGGGAGATCCCCAGAAACTTTCCCAATCCCATCAACTTAGAAGAAACCCATGACGAATCAGAAGCACTTTCAAACTGCTCTCTTACCTGGTTCGACTGATCCACTAACAGATTGTTATTCTTCTAAGACTGCCCAACCGAGACAGCAAACCTATTCGTAACACAGAGTTTGCTACCTCCCACTTGTGGCCCAGCACCCTCAAGAATACCTTCACCACCTGCAATTTGAGAATCTGCAGCCACCATCACTATCGGATCCACCACCATCAACTCCTCTTCCTCTCTCAGCACCGCTAGCTGGTTGGACTTTAGCTGAGTCTTGCCTTCCAGAGCAGACAATTGGGAAGGCAAAGATTTCACAACCCTAGTGCCAGGATCTGAAACTCCCTCTCCACCCTTCTTCTCCCTACAAGTAGCAGTCCCCCTTTGTTCTTGAGAATCCCGAGCCTCCCCAGAACCCATACCCTGATGACCACCGCCAACCTGAGGACTGAAATCTAGCGTCAGATTCGCCCTTCGAACAGAGGAGGGACTAGACTCAATATAACCATTGAGCCCAGGCCCAATTTCCAGAATAAAAGGTTGAAGAGTTAGTTGGGCTGAATAAAGCATTCCAGACCCATTAACTTCATCCGAAGTCCCATGGGCCCACTGAGACTCGAGTGGGGGAGGCTGGCAGCCCTTCTGACAATTCTCTAGCGCACTATCTTCCCTAGGGGCCAGCTGGAGCTCTGCAAGGCATTCTCTAATTCAGGCTTTAATGGCTTCAGTACCCCAAGCCTGCCCACTGCCCCTCAAATTTGAATTTCGAATTTCCTTCACAGCTGGATCCTGGGTGAACACATCTGTACCGTTCGAAGTCACCAACATCGGACGGCTCAAAAGAACCCCCAAACTTGCATCTTCTTCTTCTCTATCTCTAGACATCGAAGAAGCAACTCGCGTCTCCATCTTCTGATACCTCTCTGCTACTGAAAAACCGAGAAGCTCACTTTTGCCAAAATCTTCCAAGATTAACGTTTTGGAGCAGTTTGAACTCTCCTTGTCTTCTGTATGGACATCGCAAGACAACCCTTCTCCACCTCTCCAACTTCGAACAGACGACAAAACTTCTTGCCAGATCTGAACAGTGAAGACCACTTCCCCTGCTACCACTTCAACCTTGCTCCGAATTTGGTTTCCCCTGCGGATTTTCATTCTTACCCACTCGCAGGTCGCAATCTCCAGCAGGGAATCGTCTGTCTCTAAAAAACCCCCACAAGCATCCCCAATAGCCCTTATGACACTTGGGCACCAAAGCAAGAGTGGCAGGCCGTAAACCCTAATCCAGCATGACTCTAGGTCCTCTCCTACTTCGAAGGGATCAGGTAATGACATCCCGCACTCGCCCCCCACCAGTCCAGCAAAAGGGGGTTTCTTCCCATCTACCACGGACTTTGTCATAAAACCCAATCCACACCAGCTCTTGACGGACAAATAAAGAGGAAAAGACCATCCGCCATTTTCTTCACTCTCACACCCCCACCTCTCTCCAAATGTCGTTTGCCCACCTCTCTACCTCCTTAATCTCCACCCCCCATCGAAACCTACCCACTAAACAGTTCCTCAAAAACTCTCTTCTCGCAGTCACTCCCTGAGGATCCGTAGCTACCACCCTATTACCATTAACCCATTTCACCTCTGACGCCCTAAAAGTAGGCCAAACCCCCGCCGCCACCACTTCTCTGTAAGAAAGATTGCATCTTACCCTCCCTTCATTCTCCGATCTACGGTACCAGGCAGAAGCTTCCCATCTTTGCTTCACCCCACCTGCTCTATTATAAGAGAATCTGTGCTCCATCAATAACTTCAGGAAAGAGACCCTTCACCGGCAAAACAGACTGTAATCATGCAGTGGTAGAACATTCACCGACAAATCCATCTAATAGACCTGGAACACTTGTGGCATCCAAGTGGCACGAACTGAATCTCTTCGTTCCCGGCTTCTAAAAGCAGTATCGATCCCTATCGACTATCAATCCACATAATGATGTTATGTTGCACCTGTTATTTTGTTTCAGAAAAAAAATGAAATATCCTATATTTACCTAAATTCATGCAATCTACTGAAGTGAAATTGCATTACAACAAATAAAGGACCTCTAGCACTAAATAGCATAACAAATTCCAATTGATTGATATTTGTTAGAATCAAATAAACATAGAAAAGAATCAAACAAATACAAGAATCCACAATCCACAGAATATTTATCCCATAATAGAACATATGTACTTGAAGGAGACTTGGTCAGAAAACCTTCATTTTATGTATTTTCACATTCAGTCGGTTATACTTCCTGCCTTCAATAAGATCTATGGGTGTAACCCCTAACTATTAATTATTTCTTTCAATAGCTTCTAGTGGCATGGGATACGTCTCTTCCTGATGCTAAAAACCATGTATATGACCATTAGCAACATGCCACTAGGTCTCTCCTTTGAAGAGTAAGCAATAAACAATTTTATATAAGTGAAAATACCTTCTTTGAGTCTATATGAGAAACAGAAAGCTAGATTTTAATATGAAAGTAATGCATCTTCAAAGAAGAATTACATTTCATTGGGAGAATCACTCTCATCAAATCCACCATTTCTAACTCCTAGTATATTATCTGTCTTTCAAAATCCCTATCTTGGTGGAAAAAGGCTAGAAAAGTAAATGAGGGACTTCTTGATCTTGACAGCTCCAACTGGCTCAGTTGGTAAGGTCTCTGACTGGCTTTAGTGGAGATTTGGGATCAAATCATGTTGTCACTAGGGTTGAGGGGGTTATGGGTTTGGGGGATGGGCTAACTCCCCAGTTTCTAGCTCCATGAAGAAAAAAAAAGGAAAAAAAGAAAAATGATGGACTTCTTGTGGGAACTGTAATGCAGGAGCTGAAGAATGAAATTTGGAATTTTCTGAAATTTTATGCATTTTCGTATTTTTTTAGCAGTAGTTTTTTTTTCGTCATTTTGATCAGTTCCATGTAGGTCTAGGCTATAGCATCACGTTCCTCTAGCTTAGTAGTGCTTCTCTTTTAATTTTCAGTTTATTTGCATTAGTAGGTAGAAAGTTGTTGTGTTTCTTAATGCACAAGACAAGGAGTGGCATTTTTGTAATTATGATGAACAGTATTCCGAGCCACACAAGCCACTCTATAAATAGATGTATTCTCTTCCTTTTGAAGCTAATGAAGATTTCTTTGGAGTTATCTTTTAAGTTTGCTGTATGGAGTGATTCCTACAAACCCTAGAGTGATTCTAAGGATTTTTCTCTCCTCTCTCTCTCTCTCTTGTGATATTTTATTCCAGTCCTGCATCAAACTGGATGAGAATAAGAAACATCATTTTATTAAGTGGGACTGTGGGAGATTGTGTACAAAAGGAAGAAAGGAGGCCTGGGAGTGGAGCAGATTTTAAAGTGGAACTTCTCTTTGCTGGATAAGTGATTGCTGAGATTCCCCATTGAAAGGGATAGGCTATGGCACCTGGTCATCAAAAGCGTCTATGGCTTGGCACCAAATGGGTAGGATGCCAAGGAAGCAATACATATACTGCTTACTTCCCCATGGAGATCCATTACCAGCCTCCACCATTCTTTTATAGCCCTGATTCTGTATGATGTTTCTAATGGGAGGAGTTGTAGGTTTTGGGGAGATCTCATTCTCAAAGAGAGATTTCCCAACATCCACAATCTTTCTTTGTTACTACAGGGTTAGGTAATTTTTAGACAATATTACTTTGCCATTTAGCAATTAGCACCCATACATGTAGACATACATAAAAAGCATTAAATACCATGCCATAGATGTGACTTGACTTGGTGTGTAAAAGGCGACTTGACTTGCATTGACTCTATAAGTTTAATGTAAACTGCCTGTGCCACAAAAGTTCTGAAGCTTCCAGCACACCACATCACATCAGTCAAGTTAAAGGCCACAAATCACAGCTTATAATTTACAAAAGGTTAGGGAGAAATACACAAACCCATCAAGGAGTTGTATTATTAAAGCATCTACAGGCAATGTAATGCCAATTAGCTCATAACATACTTGTCAAGTAATAGAATACCTCTGTGAATGCCTCCAGGTATGGCCAAACATCAAACCTTGAGATCCACTTCTGAAGAATTCCTTTTTCAGTCCTAAAAGGCACCCGCAAAATATGTGTATGTTGTGTTCCACTGATTCTTTCCAAACGTTGGTTGCATGTTGTCCCTTTTGCATCAGGTATTAGCCGGGTCACCTTTGACCAGTAATCACAGAAGTTTTAGATGAATGACAATAGTTTGTGACTGAGGAGGTGAATGAAAAGCAACAACAAACTATTATCTAAATCATGGTTAGGCAAGATAAAATGAGTTATACTCACAATAAGAATTCTAGGAGTAATATTCAATCCTTGCTCCTGAATTCTCAAAAGCATCTCATTCTCCAAGGAACGTACTTGGTCTAATATATAAACAATCTGCACAGAAATTACAGAAAATAAGTAAACATTAATAACGTTCATATAGCCCTGCAGATGCATATGGACATATGATGACAATTACAATGAACCAAAATCATCATATGTAATCATATTCAACAGAAAGTGTTGCAGGGAGAGGTAGACTGGAGTTTGAAGTACAAATGATATCACAACGACATTCAAAGTTTGCACTTCATACCTTTTTTTTTATGAGTAATTTTCACTTCATACATGGTATTGAACACAACAGAACACCATAGAATAGATGACAAAAAGTATGTTACCTGCCCTCCAGTGTCTGGCAAACCCAAGACATTTGCTTGGCCAAAGTAACCGTGTGGGGATACAACGACAACATTGAACACCATTGGAATCCTCCCAAGGAAAGTCTCCAAGTTAGAGGGATCAGGAGCCTGAATTATGTCCAAGAGAAGATGTACCATCTCAGAAACACGTTTTGCATTATTACCCCAACCTTTCTCAAAGCCCCATTCCTGGAATCTGGAAGAGTGGCCAAGCCATAAATTAGTCACTACAGCCTAAATGGTAAATGCTTAAACTGTGCAAACAATTTGGGAACCATGAAGCTTACACATATTCAAAATCAGAATATGGTGCATCTGGTAGTAGCTTAGAGAGATATTCCTCTGCCTTGGCCAAATTAGTTTGAAGTCTTGATAAACTTTGTATCCGATCATTCAGCATCATGACCTGCACATTTTACTTGATAAATTAATTCATTTAGCTCTCTGCATTACTCCATTACCTTGGTTTAATAATTCATAACAATGGGAAGATTGAAGACAAAGCCACTCATAGAATTAGAGCAGGATGAGCAAAAAGAGGGGGGTGTGTGATAGGCAAATACCACTTCAGCCAAAAGAAAAATTCTATGAAACTGTTGCAAGGCCAGCTATGTTGTATGGAGCAGAGTGTTGGTCTGTTAGAAAACATGTCCAAAAAATGAATGTTGAAGAAATGCATATGCTTAGATGGATGAGTGGTAAAACTAGAAAGATAGGGTCAGAAATGAAGTTATATGAAGGAAACTAGGAGTAGCTCCAATGGGTAATGAAATGAGAGGAAGTAGAGTGAGATAGTTTGGTCATGTGCATGAAGACCATCTACAGAGCCCGTTAGAAGAAGTTATCAGTTACAAGTTGAAGGGAATGGAAGTACTAGGGACAGACTGAAGGGGAATTGGGTGGAAGTAGTGGGAAAAGAATTAAGCACCCATAAGATGATGAATTTTTTAACTGTAACATAAAGTATTTCATTAAAAGCTGAAACAAGATACAAAGATGATACAGTGGATATGGCAATGAACACAACAGATTGCAAAACAGGATTCATGTAGCAGACCCCATATAGTTAGGACAAGGCTTAGATGATGATGAGCTCTGCTGTATTACTACATGTAGCATTAAAGAACATACCAACATAATGACCAAGTTTCAATCAGAACATGACCAGACTAGAATGTTGAACCAAGAACATAATGATAAATAATAAAAAGGTAAAAGACTTAAACATACCCTGGGGTTTTAAAATGGACTTAAATATATCTTGTGGGCTGACCCCACTGGACTTAAACATACCCTCTTTTGGTGAAACGTTCGGTTGAGAATTTAGGTGATCTGTTTAATATTTAAAAACCCCATTTTACCCTTTGAAGCATTTTGGACCTAGAAGCATCTCTCACCAGTAATCCAGTCTCATAAAATAAATCATTCACATCTCGCCAAGTTTTTGTACAACATTGTAAAGTAATGCAGTCCGATGAGATAACCATTTCACATCTCAGTTTTTGTTGTTGTATTTAAAACCCAGAAACTCTGGTTATGAGATTTCATAGATGCTCTTGGTGTACTGATTACTAAACCATTACAAACCCACTAGTATAATGCCACCAAGGAGGTTCTGAGGCAATGTGCTGAGTCGTTTGACTTGATCAGTGCTTCATTTCAATGAGGTAGAACGTTGAAGCAATTGTGATCATCTAAAGAGAACAACAAATTATTTCAGTTACTTGATTCATATGCTCTCTAATGAAATGATGATCTATGAGTAGATTAAACCATGCTTTTTAAATGCACCAGAGCCATGCAATCTCTTTTACAGTTAGTCTTGAAAGGATTTCATGAATGATTTCGCTTGGGAGCTCTGTAACACCATCTAACAACTCTTTCTTATTCATTCTTATTTCATCTTCTTGTAAAAATAATAACACTGACTGGACTCTTATATTTAAAGGAGGATACAGAGAGAAAATGGAGTTGCATTCGGACTTTGCAGAACAGGGCCCCATTCTACGTTCGAACGGTTAGCGGAAAGGATTCAATAAACAAGAAGCTCCCTCCAGGATTATGCATATTTGACGGATAGAAATAATCAGTCTTTTTTCAGTTTGGAAATTTGGTTTTTACTCTCTGTTAGGAATAGAGTCTTTGGGCCCATGTGCAGTTTAGCCACATGGCCCACTTATAGTTAGTCGGTTAGTGGGTTGTTACACCACAACCGACCTCCTCTGATGTAATTATAAATACTGCCATATCAGAATAAGAAGATGCATGTTTTTCCCTCATTCTGATACCTCCTTACATGGTATCAGAGCCTCGGCTCATCGCAAATCCCTTACTTCATCGCACACTCACAGGGTGCGATTAATCTCATCACCCATATTCCTTCTCCTTTTTTTCTGTTTTCCCAAAGTTTTTCTTTCAAGAAACTCATTCTTGATTTCTTGAAACCCAACGGATCATCGTCTTGCCATGACGTCCCTGTTCTTAGATCCCAGCTCCCCGTATTTCTTGCATGCCTCTGACAATCCAGGAATGGTTTTAGTATCCTGTCTGCTCACCGGAGAAAATTACCCAGTATGGCAGCAGGCGATGAGAACAGCACTCCGAGCGAAGAACAAACTATGTTTTGTTGACGAATCGCTGCCCCAACCAGCAAGATTGTTGCCAGAAAAAAGCGCTTGGTCCAAATGCAATGCGATGGTCGCTTCTTGGATCTTCAACTCTGTCTCAAAGGTGCTGTACATGTTGCCTTCATTGAATCTGCATCAAAGATCAGGTCAGAACTACAGGAGAGATTTTCTCAGAAAACTATCCCAAGAATACACCAACTCAAGCATGATTTGGCGATGCTCAAACAAGCGAATCTTACCATAACATCGTTCTTCACCAAATTAAAGATAATTTGGGATGAATTAGCCACACTCAATACCTTACCTGAGTGTTCTTGTGGGGGCGCAGCCAAGACCTTCATTGTTGAGCAAGAAAAAGAACGACTCCATCAATTCTTGATGGGACTCAATGAGTCGTACAATACCATCCGCTCCAGTATTCTTGGATCGGAACCTTTACCATCCTTGAACAAGGCCTATGCTCTGGTCCTTCAAGAAGAATGCCACCTCGCGATGTATACTCTGCAGTCTGCGCCAGAAGCAGCAGCCATGTCTGTTTCCTCTAGACAAGGGTCTCGTTCAAATACCATGGGACCTAACCAGCAGTCAAGATCAAAGTATTACTATGAGCACTGCAAACGCAATGGCCACACTAAGGACCGCTGCTACGAACTAGTAGGATATCCACCCGGCTGGGATAAATCCCATTCAAATTGGCGGAATGAGAAAGGGAACCAACGATCAAGCTCCTGTGCCACTTCAGAAACCACAGATCAGATTCTTGGCAAGAATCCTTCAAGCAACTCTTCATTTTTTGGCCTTTCTCCTTAGCAATATACTCAGCTTCTCTCCTTATTGAGCAAAGAATCAGCCAATACTATATTTGCCAATGTCACCGGTAAGACCACTTCTACTGTCAAGTGGATACTTGACAGTGGTGCTTCAGATCACATGATCTCATCACCATGTCATTTCATAGATCACACCTCCACAGATATTGATAAGCCAGTTTAGCTACCAAATGGACTATTGGTTCCAGCCACCATGCAAGGATCAATATCCTTAGGATCTCTGGTTATTCCTAATGTGCTCTACATACCAGAATTTTCCTGCAATTTTTTATCTATTAGTCGGCTAACACAACAATTAAATTGTGCTGTAATTTTCTCTTCCTCGTCTTGCATCATCTAGGACTTAGCCTCCAAGGGACTTTGCGTGATGGACTTTACCGATTCTCGTTTACAACACCTCAACACGCATCTGCTCACACCACTTCCACTACAAATTCAGCAACATGGCACCACCGTCTGGGACATGCCTCTCGCAAGCACCTGTCACTCATTCTTGGAGTACCCATTGTATCTTCGGAGCACTGCTATGATGCATGCCACAGAGCCAAACAAACTTGGCTTCCTTTCCATGTCAGCCAGTCCATGTCCTCTCGGCCATTTCAATTGGTCCATTGTGACATTTGCGGAGGTTGATGACTTTAGCAAATGTACTTGGGTTTATCTACTTCGAAATAAATCAAATGCTGTATCTTTTCTTCTTTTATTTTGTGCAATGGTACCTCGGCAGTTTGGATACACACTCCAAGTTCTCCGTTCAGATAATGGGTATGAATTTCATTCACGCCCCTTGCAAGAATTCCTTACTGCACAGGAGATTGAACTTCAACGCAGCTGCGTCGACACGCCACAACAGAATGGCGTTGCTGAACGGAAACATCGCCATTTACTAGAAGTTGCCAAAGCCCTCTGCTTCCATGCCCACATGCCTATATCATTTTGGGGTGAGTGCTTACAAACCGCCATCTACATCATCAACCGCTTACCAACCCCTTTGCTCTCAAACAAGTCACCATAAGAAGTCTTATTCCAAAAACCACCATGTTATGATCACATGAAGTCTTTTGGGTGTCTATGCTATGCACAGGTTTGCCCCAAACCTCATGATAAATTTGCTAGTAGAGCCATCTGATGTGCCTTTGTTGGATACCCTTATGGCCAAAAGGGATACAAACTATACAACCTTGAGTCACACCAACTGTTCACTGCATGAGACGTCATATTCTATGAGACTCAATTCCCTTTCAAGAACCAACAATTTCCCACCACCATTCTTGAACTACGCCTTTTTCCATCCCCCAATCCCACATTTGATGACAAACCTATCCCACCACCTTCACTAATTGAAGCCCAACCCACAGTTGATCAAACACGGCCCATCATACTACCCAGTCCAATATCCGTTGATCCCCAACCCATAATCAGCAACCAGCCGTCTAATGCTGATAACATTCAACACAATGCCCGGTCCAGGCGCACAACCAGAAACCCCACTCACCTCCAAGATTATGTTGTCAACCTACCACCATCTTTGGCACATCAGACCTAGGCTGTCATTCCTCAGATAGAATCTGAACCAACCACTTTCACTCAAGCCAACAGGAATCCCTGATGGCGCCAAGCCATGGCAGATGAAACCTCAGCCCTAGAACGCAACAATACTTGGATTCTAGTGGACTTACTCCCATGAAAGCGCCCAATTGGATCAAAATGGGTGTATAAAATTAAATACAAAGCGGATGGCTCTATTGAGAGGTTCAAAGCTTGCCTTGTGGCTAAAGGCTATACTCAGGTTGAAGGATTGGATTACCATGACACCTTGCACCAATAACAAAATTAGTCATAATGTGGTGTTTAGTGGCCACGATTGCAATAAGAAACTGGGATTCACCAATTCGATGTCAATAATGCTTTTCTACATGGTGGCCTTCATGAGGAAGTATATATGACTATTCCTCAAGGTTTTGCTCAAGGAGGAGATCACAGAGTATGCAAATTCCAAATTCCCTCTATGGCCTCAAACAAGCATATCGTATGTGGTTTGAAAAGTTTACTCAAGCACTTCTCTATTTGGGCTTCAAGCAATCACATGCCAATTATTCTCTCTTTACACTGACTTCAGGTGACTCCTTCATAGCCGCACTAGTATATGTTGATGATGTTCTCCTAGTTGGAAATGATTCTACATGAATCACATTTCTCAAGAAGTTCATGGACGACAGGTTCAAAATCAAAGACCTTGGCACCCCAAATTTTTTTTTGGGACTTGAGGTCCATCGTTTGGTTGATGACATATTTCTCAGTCAACATAAATACATCGCTGATATCATTGACACCAGGATGCAAGATTGTAAACCATCACCAACACCAATGGAGGCCCAACACCATTTTGATGATCCTTCCAGCCCCATCTTGGCTGATCCTTCGACTTATCGCAGACTTGTGGGCCGTTTAGTTTACCTCATGGTAATCAGGCCTGATATCTCATTTGTTGTGAACTATCTCAATCAACATATACATGAACCTCGTCAAGAACACCTTGATGCTGCCTTGCACGTTGTTCGATATCTCAAAGACACTCCATTGCATGGCATATCTCTTTCGAGCAATAGCAACATTGTTCTCAATGGATACTCTAATTCTGACTGGGCTAGTTGCCCTGTCACCCAACGATCAACTACTGGCTACATCACTTTACTCGGCTCATCTCCTCTATCTTGGAAAACCAAGAAATAGCCGACTGTGTCTCACTCCTTGGCAAAAGCGGAATACCAAGCAATGGCCTTTGTCACAGCCGAATTAGTTTGGCTTCGACAACTCTTAGCTGATTTCACCATTCAGCTTTCGTCACCTATGCAACTGGACTGTGACACCAAGGCAGCACTTCACATAGTAGCCAATCCGGTTTTTCACGAAAGAACGAAACACATCCACATTGACTGTCATTTTGTTAGTGAACAAGTGCAAAATGGCTCCTTTACAGACTCATCGCTTATCGAGGTCTTCTTAGCCAGCTGATCTCCTCACAAAGGCTCTTTCCACAGAAAAATTTCATCATCTCCGCTCCAAGTTGGGCGTCCTGATGCCTTTTGACGCTCCAACATGAAGGGGAGGGGGTATTAGGAATAGTCTTTGGGCCCACGTGCAGTTTAGCCACGTGGTCCACTTGTAGTTAGTCGGTTACTGGATTGTTACACCACAACCGACCTCCTCTGATGTAATTATAAATACTGCCATATCAGAATAAGAAGATACAAGTTTTTCCCTCGTTCCGATACCTCCCTTACACTCTCTGGTTCGTTTTGAAATTTTGAAGAATAATAAAGGGTAGAAGAGTCTTCCGTCAAATTTAACATCTGCAGATATGTTTAAGTCCAGTCAAAAACTTAAAGGAACGTTTAAGTCAATTTCTGAAAACTCAGGGTATCTTTGCTTCTTTAATCAACATTAGGGAAATGAATAACGCCTTTCAAATAAAGAGGAAATAATTAATTTTCAATCTAACGCGCATGAGCCAAACTGAGGAAATATGAGCTCCTCCAAAAGAAAAAGCAAGGCAAATGCATACTTACATGGCCCTTGTATTTGTGTGCTCGAAGAAAATCAAGCAAAGGCTCCAAGCAGTCTCTGTTCCGGAACATAACCGATGAAAGGTGACGATTGAGGAATTGAACCCCATTTCCAATGAACGAGGACTGGCTGGGGCGAGGAAATGTCGCGTTGAAGGGTTCGAAATCAAGCTCAAGCACGAAATGATTATTGAAGCTGAAAGGGGTATTAAAAGCCAAGACTACATTAATTACAAAAGGTAAAAGAAAGTTAATTAGTTAAATAATTAATAAGTTCAACTATCAAGGCTCTCTTCAAAGAGGAAATTTATTAAAAAGCGACGGACAGAACAGAAAAATATGGCAACAGTTGCATCAGCAGAGAAAGGTTGCTCTGTTTACTCGCCATTGACGAGTTCCTCCTTGAAGCGAAGATATTCGGCGACGCCCAACTGCTCCACACTCAGCTCATGGACATTAACACGAACAAATTCCCAAATACCGGGCCTCGGACGGACAGCTATTGCCACAAAAGGAGGAAGGACTATAGCTTCCTTTAACCAAATCAAATAAATAAATAGATGAATCAGAAATGCAGAGGCCTTACAGAAACCGACAGAAAGAGACATTAAGAGAGAGAGAGAGAGAGAGAGAATAAAAAAGGACCTGAGCGGATTTGAGAATTTCGCTAAAAGGGCTATCAGTGAGCTTCTTTCTTCCTTTATCTTCTCCCACGTCATTGGCTAACTCGTCTAATAGGTGATGTGGTTGCAGAATTCCTTTGCCCTGATCCATGTACCTAGGCAAAACAACATTGTTATCTTACAAGAAAGCCATAGCCTCTAATAGTAAAAACCCTAAGATTCAGAAGACTAAATCTAGCCTAGACAGGAAGAAAGAACAGATAAAAAGAACATCAACCTGGAGAGTAGAGAAACGAGTTCATTCCGGTGAGCAGAGAGCGTGTCCTCGATCCTTTCTCGAATGCTGGGAACCCTGCCAAATTTAGGGGTCGCCATGAGCTAGTAATAAAGAAGCTGGTCATACAAACCAAATACAAATACGTTCGTTCTTTCGTTCTGTTTTTTTGTTTAAGAAAGAGATGGAGCAGGAGGGATGAGATGGTGATGTGTCGCACTGAGAAGAGTTGGGATCGCAAACTGTGCTTTGAAGCTGCAAGCAAGTGGCACGATCAGAGAAAGCGTGATGAATATGTCAATGATCCAACCAAACAAAACCGTCATTTTTGTGTCTACGGATTACGCAGCAGCAGCAGCAGCTAAAAGAGAAACGGTGGGAACCTAACGTGATTGGTAGTTTTGTTTGAAGTTTAGCGCAGGAAACGCATTCAACTATCTCCACGTTCGTTTGGTTTTTGTCATTGAATCAAATTGAACGGTGGGCACTGGGCACCGTTTCAATAGTGAACTTTGCACACTGCAAATCAACACGTGTATTTCCTGCCCCAAATCAAATTGAACGGTTGGCAGCTTAACCTGAGTGGCACCTTAGGGCCCGTTTGGTTCGCGGGAATGAATCTGAAATCCAACTGTCTTATTAGGCAGAATTACTGAATTAGAATCTCACTTTCATTCCTACTGGTGGAATAACATTCCCCCATTTGGTCATTCCCTCCTCTTCTTTTGGAATGAAATTCCATTCTAATTTATTCTAATTCTGATTCTGATTCTGATTCTTGTCAGAGTTAAATAGACTGAGACTATAAAAATAAATCATTTTGATTCTAATTCCAATTTCAATTGCAACCAAACGAACCCTGATTTTGAATGCAATTCCTATACCTTATACTATAACCTGCTCAAGAATCAACTGACAAAAAAAAAAAACAAAAGAAACTGCACTCCAAAAGAATCCTTATGGAAGGACATTCCTCACACAAGAGGATTGGACGAAGTGATGTTTTTGTCTTAATCCAAGGGTGGTTTTTGCCTTTTTTGGGGCGGAACTCGGAACAAACAAAAGTCTAACTACATCTCTTAGCAGATCACGTTGTGCAATTTTGTGAACCATTTGATCGGCAATTATCCCTGCCTACATTAACGAAATCAGAAACGAACTGGGCCCATCATCTTCTTTTGAGTTAGAGGTCATTATCAGCAAAGAGCCGTTAGAGTTAGAGGGATGGTGATAGTGTTTTAAGCCCATTGGTCTCGAGACCGGATATGCTCCTCACACAGGGCGCCTCACACTGACCCCACAGATGCATATGAGATCGGTGTGAGACGCAGATCCCAATTCGTTGGCCCCTCAATTGGACGTACCCTTTCTGCTTTCTGCTTTCATAGTTTCCTCACACTGACCACACAGGACTTACGGCATGTCTTGGCCACACGTCGAGAATATCTCCTATAATAGTATTTGTTATTGATAGAGAGATGTTCCTAATACTGGATAGGATGTAACCGTGAGATCGTGTGAGGCACGCTTTATATTTGTAAGAAACAGTCACTAGTTGTTCCAGAAAGGGAATTAGGTTGCTGATTAGCTTGTTAAGTATGTTCATTCAAATTTTAATTCTTTTTCTTATTTGTCTTTCTTTCTAAAGTATCTTGGGATGGGCTATACTTTATTATGTGTAGCTCCTTTTTTTATCTCTGATTTATATATAAAAGAAAAAAGAGTTATGTGGCGCTTTATGCCTCCAACCAGTCGGTTGGCACCGTTGATATGGACGTAGTTGTGCATTCTTTTTCAGTGAAGTTATGCAATTAGAGTCCATCATCTGGTCGAATCGAATCGTTCAAATTGTCACCTGGTCGGTTAAGATTTTGGGTTTGGTTCAATCAAAACCCGATAAATAGTAAAAAACCATAGATTTGGTCAAAACTGTTGACTTGGTTAAGAATCGTTTGACCCGATCAATTCAATCATTGACCTGTTTGACTCGGTCATTGGGTCGTGAGTTGCATATTCAATGTATGCAAACTTTCAGAGGCCATAACTTTGCACTCAGATGTCTAATTGGGGTGATTTTTTTTTTTTTATTTTGGGTAACTTTTTGAGATCTATACGTCCCAATGAGCCATAGGCGCCTTGCCCCACTATTATCGCAAAAAAAAAACCCTTTTGGCCTCAAATTATAATTTTTAATATTTTTATAAATAACAAAAAAGTATAAACTGAGTTAAGAATAAAAATACATATAACATATCTAAAACATATTTATACACATATATACATACGTGTATATATACTTAATACATATATATGATAATGTGGCATGGTCTAAACCGTTCGACTTGACTAATCGAATTGGTGACCCACGACCTAGAGGCAAAAACGGTTCAGCCTCCGGGTCGATTTTTAAAACATTGGGTTAGAGTCTCGTGGTGCAAAGTTTCATGAAGAGCTATATGACAGAGGTTACCAACCTCACTCCATCTCCTATGCACAAATTTTTCTCACATCTCTACCCAATACCCACAAGACACCACCATAGTGTATTGGGAACATCTCCCCATACAATGAAAATCCATATTAGTTGTACACTTTAGTTGTTCAGCATGATCTACAACCAATGATAACACTCCACACCAGTGATAAAATACATGGGGCTCACTTAGAGGTTGAATGATTATGGGTCCCATGCATTTTAAGATTGGTGTGGAGTCTTTAGGGATGCAAACAGATCGGATCGGATTCGAACCAGGGTATATCTGAATCCAATACAATATTATGAACAGTAGATCTGATATAATCCAAAGATCTGATCGGATCTTACAAACATTGATTTGAATTCAAATTCGATGAGGAAGTCAGATATTCGGATCTGATCCGATCCGATTTGAATTTTAAACGAATTAATAAATTACTAAAAGAAAAATAAAATAAAACAATTTAAATAAAGAAAAACAAACAATACACTTATCTTTTCAACTATTTTCATCATATATATTATAAAAAATAAATAATATAACAAATTTACAAAAAATGCAATACAAATAACATATTTATAAATAAATAAATAACATATATATTGGATAGGGGTGATCCATTTTTTTATTGGATCCTATTACCCGATCTAACCCGATCCAATTATTTGAAATGGGGATATCCAAATCCAATAAAATAGATTGGACTGGATCATGATCCGATCCATTTACACCCCTGTAGAGTCTTATCATTGGTTCCGTAGTTTGCTAAACAGCTAAAGCATTCAACTAATTAAATCATATCTCATACAATGAGGTTGAGCTCAACCAACTTGGACTTGGGTTTAAACAATAATGAGGATATTAAAGATACGAGGGCCATAAACTAAGGCTGCAACTTAGGCTAGGTTGGCCCTAACCCAACCCAAAAAGAGTCGGGTTGGGTTGGGTCAGGTTGATACTTGGACTAAGGGTTATGGTTGAAATTCGTGAACCCAGCGTTACTTCGGGTTGGGTTAGGGTTGATCCCTTGGGCAACCCAACCCAACCCAAACCCGACTATATAGTACACGTCATATATAAATATATGCTATATATGATATATCATACATTGATTTGTTTGGATGCATGGTAGTGTATATCCCCCACCACATACTATCCTATCTGTTTTTTTAAGATAATCACTTCACTTGATCCTAATTGGAAAGACTAAAACCTAAATAACATATTATATATTTTTTGAATATTTTATTCTTCATTTTCTCAATGTTGTTTTTGAAAGAATGGTAGGATCCATCTAATGGACGCCAAGAAGGTTGCGGAATGGGTGGGCGAATTTCAAAAATTTTCCTACCTTCTTCCAACTGGGAATCATATTCCCTAAATTTAGAATACAATATTCAAGGATTCTACTTGAACCATAATCGAATCAGATCTGAACCAAAAAGAAAAGGGAGGAATATACCTGATCCGGAGAAGCRRTATCTCCCAAAGTTGGTGTTCACGCCCAAAGAAGACACCAAGATCCGCTCCTGCTGAAGATGACACAGTTGTGGGTGAAACGGAACCAACAGAGTGTGTCCTACACACAGGATCCTTCGCAAGAATCCTCTGGAAACTCTGAACACCGAATCATTTTCAGTCTTTTCTACAGGACTGATGTCAAGAACTGATTTCTTGACTTCTTTCTTCTTCAAAGATCAAATCTTGCAAGAAGGAATGGCGGTGGCTAGAAGAGAACTCCTGGGACGAAAATGGCTGAATTGCCTCTCTTCTCTTTGGAGTGTGAATGAGATCTGATCTCAATTCGCAGGAAGCTTTCTTGCTTTTTCAAAACCCCTTGTTCGAAATCTGATGTGTTTCTCTTAGGGTTTTTCCTCTTTTCTTCTTGATTAAGAAA